TGTTTATGTTAAAAAGGAATTTAGTTAATTTTTAATTAAAGACCAAACCAATTTTGATAACAATTTCGAATTAAAAATAATGAAATATCCTAATTTTTTTCCATGCATGTAAATAATTTATTTTTTTTTTAAAAAAAAAAAAAATTTGACAATAAATAATAACCAACTTGTGTAACTTGTGTATAACAAATTTTTATTAATAACATAACTCATACATAATGAACGTACAGTATGTATAACAAATAAATTAATTTTTTAATTATTTTATGAATTGTAACATTTTCTTAAAATATATAAAATATATAAAATATATAAACTTAAAAAAAAATATTTTGACATGATTAATAATCGCATTTTATGAAATTTTATGAAATTCTTGAAAAAAATTAAATTTTAAAATATTTTCCGAATTAGAATAAGTAAAATATATTATATATAAACTCTATTAAAAAAATTATTGTACATTTGTCCATAAATTTTGATGATCGTTATGATAACTCCGGCGGCCGATCATTAAAGGTGACGTATTACGTATTACATAACAAAAATTATGCGTATATCAAAATTATGAAACAATAATAAAATTTTATTGATAAAATCATTATATAATATTAATAATATTAATACTTTTTTCATACATATGATCATTTAAAATATTTAAAATATCGCTCAATTCAAGCCCCCACCCTTGTTGGATAACTGTATCGAATAATTTATAAAAACTATAAATACCGTAAGAAAATTAATAGAAAATATAGAAAATATAGAAAATTGAATTTCGTGATTTGCACGGTTGATAATATTTATAAATAAATATTAATATTAGTAAAAATTCGGAATTTCACAAATGTGAATTATTAATAGTTTTAATAATATTTTTTTTTTAAAAAAAAAAAAAAAAATTAAAAAGTTCCAAACACGTGACCAAAATGATCGACATGCTCATATACTTTGTGTAACAAATATACAAACTAGGATGATAAAAAAAAAATGTATAAAACCGCGTTATTTTCATTATGAATCACATTAAAACAAGGGAAAAAAAAGTAATCAACGTCATATAATCAATGAACTTATTTTTATGATATAAAAAAAACACTAATCCATAAATATCATGAACCTAAAAATAAAGTTATAAATTTAAATTCATTGAACATAAAGAATATATTTATAGACCTATTTTAAATCGACTCCTTTATTAACCAAAAATATTAAAACGTTTTCGCTTTTTGCCAAATTACCAAATCTATTATAATCCTTTTATTTTTCTTTTTTGTCTTAATATCACGTCCATTTTTAATTCAAAAAAGAACCCTTTTAACTATTGTAGTTTGAACCCTACCCTAAATCGCGTTCCCTAAAAAAAAACCTTTATAAATATAAAAGGCATATCATACGTGCATATGGGTTACTCAAAATTTTCTGTGTACGCGTTTTCTCACATTGAATATTCGAGATTCCCTATAAAATTTCCAAAAATTCCAAAAATTCCCATGTGTTCATTATTATTATAATCTTAGAATTTAATTTCTAGTTATAGAACCGGTTTATAAAAAAACCATTATTACATTGTAAAGATTTTCAACAAATCAAGTAAAAGAAGACAGAAACGAGAAGAATACGAATACTTTCAAAGCTAGACAAATATATTTAATTGTTTTATTATCTTAAAAATTCTCGTACTATCTTAAAATTAATTTCACAAAATTTTTGTAACATATAACAAGAAATAATAAAGTAAAATTCTTATTATAATGTTCATTTAAAAAAAAAAGGAGGTTTTTTTTTCATATTTTAAGTTTTAAGAATTATAAAATGTTACAGTATGTCAATTATGTCGAATATGCCAGTATGTCATAACTTCATAATCATGATTATTAAACACGGTTTCAACATATTTATCGTCTAATCTAACTTAGGAAATCGCGATTTTCATTGTCCGTGTGTGTTCGTTTAAAACACAAAGAAATTTTGATTTACCATTGTTCATATTGACAACATTCATGTGTTATATGTGTCAGAATAATTATAAATCTTTTTTAAAATAATATGACAAATTTTAGTTTACAATTATTTTTTTTTTTATAGATTATAAAGTAAAATGTACAACGTTGATTGAAACATATGATAGGTACGGTTAATCTTGCGCGAGATGAAATAATGATAACATTGATATATTATTATTATTATTATTTAGTGCATTGTGCATCATGGGATTTTTTTTTTTTTAAAAAAAAAAAAGATTTATAAGATTATGATAGCATATCATATGGTTTGGTTCCCTTGAAATTATGATAAAAAAAAAAACGATAATCTTTTTTAAAAAAGATCGCGAGAGATAAAATCTATTTATTTATTTTATTTATTTATTTATTATTTATTTTATATTATTTTTAAAGAATTAGGCGAATATATATAAGTACTTTAAACTTGAAGCGCGAGAATAAAAAAAAAAAAAATTTTTTTTTCAATAAGATCTATTTTAGACTCGTTACACTTTGAAAGAGAAAAAAATTCAAACTGCGGTTTGATTCGGGATCGACATTCGAAACTAAACCTAATTAGTTATTAGTACTGCGTAAATTAAAAATTTCAATAAATCTCTATTCGTAACTCCGATAACTTATTATTTATGAAAATTTCGATGAAAATGTTTTTAAACTAGGATCAAAAGTTATTTTCAACCTTGTTATAAAATTCTATAAATACAAAAAAAGTATATCATAATACACTTTTTTTTTAAAAAAGATGAAACAATTTTAATACATTGAATAAAAGAAAAAGGATTTACATCCGACATTGAATAAGGAAGAAACGGGCAACATATTTTACCTAACTATTTATTGCTTTAAGAATGAAAACTTTTTAATAATTACTATGGAAATTAAATTTTCCGGATAAAGGGAATACAGGAACATCGTGGGAAATGACAACATATCGTATTTCTAAAGTTAGAAGGATCCGACTTTACTCCAAAGAATTTATTTATTTATATATATATAAAATATATAAAAAATATCACGTTTTAAAATATTACTCCTTATTATAGTATTAAAAAAAGTTATATAAACAAAATTCAGTGTCAAAAAGTTTCGATTACCTTATCTGTATTTGTTTATATCACAAATCAATTCAGCCCAAATGCTAATAATGAACCAAATTGTGATAAGTGAAATTTTTTTTAATAATTAGAAAAAGTGGGATCTGCAAAATACTTTAAACGACGTATATTGAAAGGTAATGAGGCTTTAAATTAAAATTCGAGTGATAAAAAATTCTAAATTTTTTCTTGAAACAAAAAAATAATAATAATAATAATAATAAATAAATAAATAAATAAAATAAAATAAAATAAAATAGAATAAATAAAATATTAAAAATAAAAAATTTTATATTTCATTCTCATTGTTTTTGAATTACAACGAAAAAAGTAAAAATTTAAAAGACCGAAATAATCGTAGAAAAATAGGAAAAAGATCAAAAAGAATTGAACTCTTATTATTAGAATGAAATTTTCATGGAAAAAATGGAAATTTTTTTTTTTTTTTTTTTTTTTTTTATGACGCTTTTTTTTTTTTTGATGTGATGTAGATCATTTAAACATTGCATCTTTAATAAATATTCTAAAATCATTTTAATCACATTTTTGATATTTATGAAAATTTAAAATATATATTATAAATAAAATAATGACAACCCTTGAAATAAGTATTAGTATAAATTTATAAATTCTTTACCCCTTGTTAGAACATTTGATTATTTTTGTTTATAAACAAATCCACAAATTCGTAAAAAACAATAATAACTTAATCGAGCGGACAGACATCACCTACACCCGTACCTTGTGAAACTTCTTAACCAATCACTTTTAAAAATTACGAAATCAATGTTTGTAGAACAAGAAAAGAATAATAACAATAGCTAATGTTTCGATGTAACACACATATATATTTGTCGGATAGTTTCATATTTCAATAATAATACTATATTCTAACCATATTAAAATACGTTTCCGTATTTAATGTATTTAATAGAATGTTCTTTTACATATTTGATAATGAAATTTTTTTAAAAAAATTAAAATAACAATTATAACGTTCGCTTTTGGATCTATTCACGAAAGCCTTCAATAACGCTATTAAAGTTTTTTTTTTTAAAAAAAAAAAACATCAGCTGATTTTTATTTTTACGTTATGTAAAATGACAGAAATTTCAACATTTTCAACATCGTTTGTATATTTCTTAATATTTTTCATACAAACATCGGAAATTTTTGCATATATGTGCCGGATTGTTATTTTTTTCATATGATTGAAAAAAATTTTTGATGTTTACTTGGAAAAAAACGGGGGTATCAGATATAGATCACTTTATATAATAGATCGAAGAATAGTAAAAAAAAAAAGATCTCTTTTTTTTTTACTGACAATTTTTTAGTAATGATCTAAATGTTTATTTACAAGTTTATAATTATTTTTGGTCTTATAGAAATGTAATTCTTGATTTTATTTAAAGGAAAAAAAAAAAAGTATTATTAAACATTAAAAAAGGAGGAATCGTTACACTTTTGAAAGCATTAATGACATTATATATATATATATATAATAATTTTTTTTTTTTCATAATTTCCAAATTTAACTAGTTCATTTACTTTTTACCGCTATGAATCAAAAAAGTATAAATTTTACAAAAAATAAAGTTTAACTTTGAAAGCATGCATAATTTAAAAAAAAAAAATTTTTTTAACAATGTCGTTAATTTAAGGTGCTACTGATCTTTTGATTCTTATTATAAGTTGAAACTTTCTTTTAATAAATTAATTGTGTAATGACACTCTTTTTTTAATATATATTCATTATTTTGTTACAATTCATGTAACTGTTTTTAAATTTAAAATAGTTTTGAGCAATTTTATAATAATTTTATTTTTATTTGTTATTATAAAAAGTTTATTTATTTTTGTGTAAAGGATCTTAATAATAATGTTTTATAAATAAAGCGTTTTGATTCTATCCTCCTCCTTATCAAACAAAGAAAAATTTTTTTTTCTTTTTTTTATTTCTTTTTTAATAATATTTTTATATCTATTTCTTAACCAGAAATTTATTTTTATTTATTAAAAAGAACAAAGGAATTTACTTGTATTCGTGCCACATAAAAAAAATTTATCTATTTTTATTCTTTATTGTTAAGAACTTTGAAAAACGCACAGACTTACGATTATCTGCACGCACGTGTTTTTGTACATTATAAAAAACGCCAACTTTATTTATACAAAAGCCTTTTCTTACGATATATCTATTATTATTATATCTATTATTTTTCTTTAAACTTCATTTTTTTTCCCTTAAACAATGGATATTTTGGAACTTATTCACATGGAATCTCAATATAGCGAAAGCCGCCCATTCCGATGCACTTGGGAAGGATGCACGAAAGCATTTTCAAGAAGGTCTGACCTAGCTCGACATGGGCGTATTCACACAAATGAAAGGTAAATCTCATTCATATTAACTAAATTTGGCTAGATAACATGGATAACATGATGAACAATTTAATTTTTCTTTGTTTCAAAAAAAAATTATTATTATTATTTTTTTTTTTTTTTTTTTCTTTTTAAAATTGTTTTTCTTACCTTTTATTTCTCATTGTTTATTACGTAAAAAAATTTTGACCCCTAATAAGAATTATGCATTCAATTCACATGCTTATTTACCTATGTTTATTATTATTTTGGTAATAGACCTTTTGCTTGTAACGAGCCTGGTTGCGGAAAATCTTTTATCCAGGTTGGTTGAAATCAAAAATTTTTTTTATTTGAAACCAAATGATTTTCAAAATATTTACTTATACGCCGTTTTGATTTTAGAGATCCGCCCTTACCGTTCATATGAGAACTCATTCAGGAGAACGTCCACATGTTTGTGAACATCCTGATTGTAATAAATCGTTTAGCGATAGTTCTTCATTAGCTAGACATCGACGTATTCATACCGGAAAACGTCCTTACAAGTGCGGTTTTGAAAATTGTGGAAAAAGGTAAATGTTAAAAAAAAAAAAATATATCCATACACATATATATATATAAATCAAAATCATATAAATTAATAACGTACTATATAAATTTATTAGCTTTTGTCGTAAAACAAACTTGACGCGACATCATCGAAGAACTCATTTGATGGCTTTGAAAACTGAAAGACCTTTCATATGGCGTACTCCAATTGATAATTCTAATATTTCAATTTCCGATCAGTTTTATCATCCGTATCTTTCTACTCCTATTGGACCCATGTTATCTCCAGGTTCATTATTATCATCTCTAACTTCTTCTGGTTCTACTTATTCAACAACTGGTTCATCACCAAGTTCTCCAACCATTCCAACAATTTATGCTCCTCAACCAGTATTACCAACTCCTCAAGTTGGTTCTTATTATTCCAATGTTATCGGATTACCAGCCTATGATAATAATGGATATACGTCACCAACCACTTTATCTTCAGCTACGTCATCACCGAGTCCTCCAGAAACACCAATTTTACCAAATGTACCTATTCATTGTATGAGCGAATGTCCTTGTTGTTGGCAAAATCATTTCTTACAATGGCAAATTCAACAAGTACAACAAGTACTCAAACAAAATTCATCAAGATTTCAATATAATCAAAATGATGTTGGTAATGTTGGTACAAATTTTATTCCTTGTAATTAAAAAAGGAATTTCAGGAGTTTAGTAATTAACGAGGTTAAATAAGGGTTGGATTAATTATTTGTATTATTTAATTGTAAAATAGGATATAACTTACTTTGATTATTGAGTTGTGGGTTAACGGATTATTTGATTATGAGTTGACAGACTTTGAGTTGATGGGTTATTTTGATTTTTAGTTGAGTTTGCGGATTATTTTGGACTTTTGAGTTGGCGGATTATTTATTTGTTGACGATTTTGAGTTGGCGGATTATTTATTTGCTGACGATTTTGAGTTGGCGGATTATTCTGATTTTGAGTTGCCCGTAAACCGTAAAAATATGTATTTATATTTCATGGTGGGACTGTAAATTAATTAACTTTAGGTTACTCATGTATAATAATTATTGGATTTCTTCTATTTGGTTTTTTTAAAAAAAAGGAAGGAACTTTTGAGTGTGAAATCAAAAAAAAAAAATGGTGCATTCTTGACATTTAATTTATTTCATTCTTGTTACCTTAATATTTTCATCTCTCAACATTTTTAGCTATTTTTTTAAAAAAAGCAATCAGAATTTGTAAAATAGTTTCAAAAAAACAAAAAAAAAAAGTATTAAATTTTCTCTTAATTTTTATTGTTTATCTTTTTTCGTTTTTTTTCTTTTTTTTTTCTTCTTTTCAAGTGTATAATTATTATTATCACCAATTATTATTTATTATTTATTATTATTATCATTATTATTATTATTATTATTTATTATTTTTTTCTTATTTTTTCCTTTTTTTGTGCAACATATTTAAAATATTCAATGTTTTTCAATGAATTCTTTCTTGGTCATCTTTTTGAAAATGATTTACAAGTTCATTTTCGTTCTCATTTTATTATTAATAAAAACTTTTATGTAAATAACAAAAAAAAATTTGAAACTTGAAACAATTTACTTTTTTTTTAATTAATATAAAAAAAAATTAATAATGTAAAAAAATTGTGTAAAAAAAAAATTTTGTTTCAGCCTTTTTTATTTTTTTAATCCATAAAGTTCAAAAAAGTTTTATTCAAACTTGTATCGAATTTTTTTTTTTTTTAAACAATTAAATCTTACGTAACTTTAATTTATGGAAAGATCATCATTACACATTATAAACGATTATTATTTATGTGTTGGTTTCAAAGGTAACTAAGGTTAAAAACCCTGGGAAAGGAGGATTTTTTTTTCTTTATGAAAAAAGAAATTCCTAAAGTTAGGGGGTTTCATCGGCGTGTTTGAAGTAAAAAAGTCTTTGTTTTTTTTTTTAAACGAATTTGTTTTAAGCAAATTTTTTTAATTTATTGGAATGAATGAAATATTTGAAAAAAAAAAAAAAATTTTGAAAAAAGAAAAAAAATTCCGATAAAAGAAAAAAAATTTTTTTTTTTTATAAGCCTTTTTTCTATTTTTCATTCGTATTATTATGTATCGGGGTTTACGTTTAACGTCTAATTTGACGGGTTACACCAAATGTAAACAACTGTAACATAGCGCCAATCATTATTATACCCATTACCATAAATAGTTCTTTATTCCCGCAGCAATACAACAACAATAGCATTATAGTATAATAATATAATAAATTTAATATTGCATGAACTTATAAAATTTTTTCAAATCATGAAAATGATGATTACAAATTTTACATTAACAAGACTTTTTTTTTAAAAAAAAATTTTTTTTTTCTTTAAACATCATCCATAAATCCATAAATATTTTTCGCATAATTATTTTCGCATAATTATTTTCTTTTTTTTTCTTCGCATAAGTTTCTTCTCTTTCTTCGCATAAATATCTTCTTTTCTTCGCATAATCATCTTCTTTTCTTCTTTTTTTTTTTTCTTGCACGATGACATAATTTCATGAGATTTTTTTTTGCTCTTGTTTCTTTTTCTTTCATTTTTCGTGTCAAAACTTGTATTCTTTCTTGTTTGATTTTTTTTTTTTT